ATCACCTCAACTCGCCTGGGCATCGTTTTTGGATGGGCTGGTGGGGATACACGAAGCGCCTAGAATCAGCAGTACGATCATTATGAGTACGATTAGTGTTGCCATTACTCTTAATTGTCATTGATTTGTTCTTTTCACATTAACATGTTTCTTCTTAGTAGTATCAGCATTCGCCTTGAAAGTATTAGCATTCGTGTCCTTAGTATTATTGCCCGTTCCCTTAGTATTATTAGTAAGATTACTAGTATTGTTATTCTCATAATATGAATAGTGTTCTTAATACTGTTAGCATGATTAAGATTACTCTAACAAGTCTTCTCTTTATGCTGAGTATCCCGAAAACTCGTGGTAGTAGTATGAGTATCAAGTATTCGTCTTGTTCTTCGCCATCGACTTCTTCGTAATGATATTCGTATTGTCGGTATTAATATTAGTAGCACTGTTCATATTACTCGTAAGGATAGAGCCGTTGAAAAAAAACAATGTTCGTCTTACCGTTGTTAACAGTAATATCCGCATGTTTATGCTTAGTCGTACTATTATTCGTCGTACCACTATGTTCTGGATATTCGCTTCACTATAATACGTCAAATTGGTCTCATTACAAATCATACTCTTAATATTATCATCACTCGTTGTATCATTTTTTATCATTACTATTGGTAGTACTGGTATTATGAATATGGTGCAGTTTGTTCGTCATTGCGATTATTCGTATCATTACGGTTATTATCATTACTCGTCATAGTAGTAGTACGTTTATACTTACGAATACCTGTCCGATCGATGCCATTAATACGAAGACTATGTTATTATAGTGTGTCCCCTGAATGTGCTTATTCTTATTATTCGTATGAGCCTTCTTAGTACTGGTAGTAGTATTGGCATTATTCAATCGACGTGTCTGTGTTGTTTTTGTTTTTTGCTTTTTTCATACTGACATTATTCATCCTCCTCCTCCTCCTCCTCCTCCCCCTCCTCCTCCTCCTCCTCCTCCTCCTCCTCCTCCTCTTCCTCCTCCTCGTCTTCCTCCTCGCCCTCCTCCTCCCGCCCCCCCGTCCTCCCTCCTTCCCTCCCTTTTTCCCTCCCCCCCTCCTCCCTATCCCTCCCCCTTTTCCTCTATTCCCCCTTCCCCATCCTGCTCGCCCCTCCCCCCCGCCGGTGCCCCCTCCCTCTTCCTCCGTCCTCAAAAGCGGCGGCGCCACGGCGACTGCCTGGACGTCCGCGGGCAACACGGCCGCCCACTCCGACAGGGACTGCTGGGCGCGCGCCAGGCCGAGGCCGCCCGCGACGGGGCCCGCCTGGGGCAGGCTGCCGTCGCCGCCGTCACCGCCGCCACCACCGCCGTTGCCGCAGCCGCCGCAGTCGGCAATGGAGAGGGGGATGCGGGGGAAGGAGGAGGAGGAGGAGGAGGAGGAGGAGGAGGAGGAGGAGGAGGAGAAGGAACGAAAGGAGGAAGAGGACGAGGAGCATGTCGGAGCATGTACCAGTCGTCCCCGAAAGATGCACCAAGACGAAAAGGTGCGCTGGGACAAGACTAGAGCTTGACGGCGATCCACTTGCGGCCACCTTCTCCGAGGTGGTGCACCGCCTCCGGTGGTGCTGGGCGAGCGAGCGAGCGAGCGGTCTGACGGCGCGCGGAGGCGCGCCTGGGCAGACCGAGCGAGTTGAAAACCCAGCATTCAAGCGCCTGGCGGCGTCTCCCGTCGCGCTAGTGGGACAGGATCCACGAACGCGGCCCCCGCAACAAGGCCACGCGCCAGGAACGCAGGGGCCCGCGCCCGCAGGAGGGAGGGGGGGAGAAAAAGGAGAGCGAAGGGGGAGGGAGGGAAGGAAGGCAGGAATGAAAAGAGGAAGGAAGGGCGCAGACGCGAGCGCCCCAGAAGCGCGGGCCGCGCGCGGGCGGAGGCCGGAGCGGGGTCTAGAGCGGAGCCTTGAGGATTCAAACGCATCAGAGATCATCCGACCATCGCTTGCACGGTCGCCCTACGCGCCTGCCTGGGCCCGTCCGGAACCATGGGGTCCAGTCGAGCAGCTGGTTGTTCCATTCTCCTGTCGTGCATGCGCCTGTCTTGAAAGCGAACTGCAAATTCCGACTTCTCTGCGTCTCAACCGAGTCACATAGTCCTCGCTCTCGAGCCTTCTGCCCGCATACACGAGTGGAGCTTCTGAAGCATGCTATCCACTCTTCATCCGGCCTTCTCGGAAACTGGAAAAATGTTCGCGGCATTTTGCGACGCGCCCTCGCGGTCGCCAGGCAGTCCTCCACCCTCATTCCCCAGCACCAGCATCCATATAAAGCCGTCGAAGTGACCACCGAATCAAACAGCTTCAACCTCGGTGCTAAAGAAGATCTCTTCGAGCACACGGCGCGCCGCGACTTAGCAAATGCTCTCCAAGCAGCCGAGACGCGATGTGAAACCTCCGCATGACCTCCAAATTGATAGCGCGCCCAGATACTTCCAGGGCCCTCCCAGTGGAATACTCTCGACCTGGGAGCCGCCGACGGAGCATGAAACCACCGGCGTCGCTCTGCACGTTGGTGGCACTCTTGGCCGTCTCGAAGTTGACTCAGAGCCCGTATCTGGCAGCGGCGACATGTAGGCGGTCTGGCATTTTCGCGGCGTCTTGTCTCTCGTTTGCGCGAATAGTCGGACGCTATCGGCGAAACGCAGCTTCGAGGTCGGAACCTCCCGGTCGTGCAACACGAAGCCAATATATTGTCCATCGCGTGTCCGGTTGAGCCCATGCCATTATTCCTTGGGGAATCTGAAACATGAACCCATAATTGCAACGAGTAGCAGAGCGCGGATTGGACCCCCTTGCTTCACCCCCTTGCCAGGCGGAACGCGCGGGATTCGACTCCAGTGGTCCAGCGACAACAGAAGCAGTCTGGTCTGCGCACAGTTTCCGAATCAATTCACTGGACGATTCGCCAATACCGAACTCGCGCAGAACGCCCCACGGCACCTCGCGTTCGACCGCGTCGAAAGCCTTCTCGAAGCCTACGAACACGAGCCACAATGACTGATTTCACTCCCTGCATTTCTCGACAAGTAGGCTCAGTGCGAGTAGATGGCCCTCAGTCGAGATACCTGGGCGGCGAGCTGCCTGGTCTGGCGACTGCTGCGACATGATGGCACCACACAAGCGATTGCAAACAATTCGTGCAACAAAAATCTACAGGAAACGAAGACTCGCTATTGGCATATAATCCTCCGGATAAGCAGAGTCTCCATCGTTGAATGACACAATCGGTTTGGCACGTCTTCACGAGTCAAGCGGCTCTGTCTAGCCGCAGCACGGCGTTGATCAACGAGGGGGCGCTGCCCGGCCAGTTCAGGCCGCTCTTCCTCAGCATCTTTGCAACGATACCAGCCGAGTCATTGCACTTCCCGCTGTTCATGGCGCGGATTGCCTCTGCCCACTCGAACATCGTGAAATCTGGCGGCGCGCCGCCCGCATCCTTCCCAGAGCGACTATGCCCCCCAAGGCTCGCGTAGAGCGTATCGAAAGAGGCGAACACTTAGGCCGCGTCTTCCTCCAAGTCCTTGACGTCACCACAAGCATCGATGACCGGCGCGACGCGACCCCTTCTCGCCGGCGCCCCAGCGCGCGCAATTGCGCTCAGCCCTTCGAAATCGCCCAAAATATGTCCGACCTTCGCCGCTTTCTGGTTCGACCATTTTTCCCGGGCCAGGCGTCTGATTCGGAGGCTCGCCTCCATTCGCCGGTCTGCCGCGCCTTGGCCCGAATGCGTTGCAGGCCGCCTGAATTGACGCCCGCCCTTGTCTCCCAGGGCTTCGGCTGCCTTCCTCCGGGCGCGCGGGCGCGTCAAAGCCAAACTTTCCACCGCAACGTTCTCAATCCTGGCCGTCGCCTGAGAAGGGCACCCCCACCGGCAGGCCGCTCCTGCAGTAGACGACCCACGCACGCCTCGCAGCTGTCCGCGTCCACATCTGGCCCCCAAGACGGTTTGGAGCGCGCGTCTTCTTTCGTATACTTGCGCCAAGAAGCACGCCCATCCCGAGCGGCCCGCGGCCCGACACTGCGTCGATTTCGGAAAGCGTCTTGCACTTCCGAACACATGTAGCTTCCACGCAAGCGGGAGAACGAAGAAATCAAAGTGTTTCTGACTTGATCAAGTGGCACATGTCCAGAGTTGCTCAGGATCGCCAGCGTCGAACGCGCTGGCGAGAAAGAAGAGCACCAATGCACTGACCACTCACCCCGCTGAATCCTCGACCCTATCGGGCTCGGTCACAGGGCGCACATTTCTCCATCATCGCACTGCGATCTAGGCCCCACCTCTGCGTTGAAATCCCAGGGAAATAGATCTTCAAGGCGACAACAGAGAACCCAGAGTTTCGCAAACTTCCTCAACACGAATATCAGCCAACCTGGAATGAGGCATTACACCCCCACTAGCTTGACGCTCGAGGTGCCCCAACGCAACGTAAGCATCGCCACTCGCTCAGGCTCCGCCTTGGAGGACATGCAATCCCACCGGCGGCCCAGGAAGTCACCTACACCGTTGGATCCCCTGGCGCCTCCGCTTTCGAACCACGCGCCCCCCTTCCGTGGTAAACACCGTTTTTGGATTATTCCCATGTTTCTGTGAAAGCAAAGGCCCCAGCGCATTGCCCCCACCTTGGCCAAGAGATCCTCAAACCTTGCATCAAAATCCATCAGCGAACGAATGTTGTGAGAGATAACGGCAAATTCAATCCGGATCCGGGGCCGCCGACGAAACACCCACATCTGGAGACGATGCAGGTTCTAATTCTGCGGGCCCCGCTGCGCTGACCCTAATACTGCGGGCCAACTACGCGGACCCAGGAGGGCAAACGCGTGCCTCGACGTGCGCATGGAACCCACGGCGCGAAGGAGTTGGCCCCTTCCAGCACCCAGTTCCTGGCACACCACTCCCAGCTCCCAATTCTCGATTCTGGGTCCCCGGTTCCCAGATCCTGGTTCCCCGTTCCCGATTCCTGGCTCCTGGTTCCCCGGCCCCGCCTCCCAGGTCCCGGTTCCCGCTTCCCCGGCGCCCCGCCCTTGGTACCCGGTTCATGGTTCCCGAGGTCCGGGCCCCGAATCCCGGTCCCTGAGCACCCAGGGGACACAGAAAACTAAGTGTTCGTAAAGATTAAGTTCTGGACATATCTCACATTGAGCTTATAGTTTGTATTTAGCAAACTTAACTTAGAATGTACTGAGAATTTAGATTGTACTTAATGTGTTCTTAAACCACACTGAGTGTGCACTTAGTTTGTTGCCGCACTTGCGGATATAGTCACGTCGGTCATCATGGCGCGTGCCTCATTATATTTGGCCCAGCGTTTCGTTATATTAGCGTCTCTGATTGTGTCGGAGAAAATCCCCCTCCACCCCTCCACCGCAGCATGCTGGATCCTCCTCCTCCCCCTCGTCCTCCTCCTCCTCGCCCTTCTCCTCGTCCGGCTGTGCTGGGCGAGCGAGCGAGCGAGCGGTCTGACGGCGCGCGGAGGCGCGCCTGGGCAGACCGAGCGAATTGAAAACCCAGCATTCAAGCGCCTGGCGGCGTCTCCCGTCGCGCTAGCGGGACAGGATCCACGCTCGCGGCCCCCGCAACAAGGCCACGCGCCAGGAACGCAGGGGCCCGCGCCCGCGGGAGGGAGGGGGGGGGGGAGAGGAGAGCGAAGGAGGAGGGAGAGAAGGAAGGCAGGAATGACAAGAGGAAGAGAGGGCGCAGACCCGAGCGCCCCAGAAGCGCGGGCCGCGCGCGGGCGGAGGCCGGAGCGGGGTCTAGAGCGGAGCCTTGAGGATTCAAACGCATAAGAAATCACCCAACCATCGCTTGCACGGTCGCCCTACGCGCCTGCCTGGGCCCGTCCGGAACCACGGGGTCCAGTCGAGCAGCTGGTTGTTCCATTCTCCTGTCGCGCACGCGCCTGTCTTGAAAGCGAACTGCAAGTTCCGACTTCTCTGCGTCTCAACCGAGTCACATAGTCCTCGCTCTCGAGCCTTCTGCCCGCATAAACGAGTGGAGCTTCTGACGCATGCTATCCACTCTTCATCAGGCCTTCTCGGAATCTGGAAAATTGTTCGCGGCATTTTGCGACGCGCCCTCGCGATCGCCAGGCAGTCCTCCACCCTCATTACCCAGCACCAGCATCCATATAAAGCCGTCGAAGTGACCACCGAATCAAACAGCTTCAACCTCGCTGCTAAAGAAGATCTCTTCAAGCACACGGCGCGCCGCGACTTAGCAAACGCCCCCCAAGCAGCCGAGACGCGATGTGAAACCTCCGCGTGACCTCCA